ATGATGCCTATTATTGGTTTGTCGTATCTTCGATTAGCATGGCCATTCTTTGCGACGACATTCGGCATGGCAGTAACTGGTGTTACATTTCATAGACTTAGACGTGATGATCAAAATCTATATTATATATCACTATCTTCATTTGTTATTACTGTGATTATTAGCATCATCAACCCATGCTTTTACTTATCATTCAATAGAAATATCGGAGACGGCACTACAAATTTATTCCGATGTATCATTGGTAAACATCTTAGGTAGTAAACAACAGTATTCTTCGTATTCCCTTATGATGATATAAAATGAAAATCTATTAAACCGTATTCTTAGGAATCAGATTAATCATTCTAGCATCTAGCCTGTGATTTGTCGCAATGCTCGCAACTAACAGTAAAATAAATTCTTCAAATACTATTTAGTAAGTTATAACCGTTCTAGTATTCATGAAGTAGTATTGGGCATAAAAATAATAAAAATGCCAAATTATTTGTCTCACGTGAAACCTTATGTAAACTTACGGCAAAGCACTTAGTTCATTAAATTTTTTTATGTTAATGCATTGAATAGATTAAGATCACATATTATAATTGCAATACCAAGAATGAAAAGATTACTCGTTTCTTGACTACAAACCTAGGGGAGAACAACTATGACTGTTGAAGGTCTGGGCTGTACCTAGCTAGTTTGTGAGCTGAAACTGTCTTCTGAGCATTTAATAGCAAATGAATAATTCCTACTACAAATCTGCAACGATAACTAGCATACCTATGCTACGACAATGAAGTAAATTGTATAGAAAAGTGTGGATGCTTTTTACAATACCTAATTAAAAACAAAGTAGACTAAATTATATTAATAGTCTACATTAATGCAACTAAATATTATCAGTGCTGCAATATCGATGTTAAAATATTAATAATTATAATTACTATAGCTGATATTTTCAACAAGAAAGCATAAAATGAGATATCTTAGATGCGTCAATAGATAATGATTTCATTATATACTGCAGTTGGCTACGATACCTTCGATTATTTTATTATAGGTCCGCAAGAACAATTTGGGATATTCTGGTAACATAAGGCAAAATACGATTTCAAACAATGTGAATATTTGAACGGGTAGTTTAAATGACTAAGTCAGTTTTTTCCTTGGATTTCTTATTTGTCTTTCGAATGCTACTGTGTAGCTCTTAGTTTTTAGATCAAGGGAAATCCATTTTTAATAGTAAAGGTCATTAAACCAAATTTCTTACTGGCAATACTTTCGTCATTGGTAAATCCTAGTATTGCATGGTGCCTTCTTATCCTTTATCATGAAAGCCAATAATTACCACAACGCTATCTCCAAACCTAATTAAGAAAGGACTTGAACATCGATTTAAATATCCCATTGTAGTATAGTATACTTGCTAACGATCGAGGTTGTGGTAATCGCTTGGGAGATAATATGAAAAAAACTATGCTTTTCCTTCGTTAATTTAGTAAATTTACTACGTAGTTTGGTATTAATTAGAACTACCCCTCTAATGCCTGTTTGCAACTAAGCTATAATTATTAATAATTCTCGAACTAGCTATTGTAACTTGATTCCAAGCCATCCGTTTATTTCATTTTGAAAAATTCGTTACATAGAGATTGTCCTTAATTAATGGATTGATAAAAATATATTTTGCAATTTTTATAACAAAAGAATTTCAGTAACAGCTCTAAAGGATATTTGGTAACCAAAACAATAATTTTTTATTTATATTCTAATGCAATTACCATAGATAAGAGAATATTAATATATCTGTGCTTGAAATACGTGTGTATCTCTGTCATTTAACTAATTAACAACCTATATGCTACGAGTTAGTTTTTGTCAGAATATCATAATAGCATGCAATTCCATGCATACAACCATTATAAACTCGCAAGTCAACGAATGTCATAGCTACCTTAGCAATGAAATTGCTTTACGATGTCCGTTAATAAGGCTAGAGCAGAATTTAATTTCTTAATAATTATAACGAACAATCATATTACGTGGTAATGAATAAGAAAAATTTTATTAAATGGAATTAGCCTATGAGATTTTACGCCAGAGTGTACTGCTGCTTCTCTACCTTGTAGTAGCAATTTAGCCAGTCTTATTCTGATTCTTTCCGTAAGCTTGCTTCAAATAAAATATGTCATTTTATCCATATGCATTTATGCATTATATCTATCAGCTGCAGTAACACTACTAAAAAAGTTTGACTTAAAGTTTATACAAATAAAATAAGGTACTTAATTCACCAATAAGTAACAACTGAGGAATACTTCTAAACCAAGATAATACAGTACTGCCAGTTATTAACGGCAACAAGAACGCGTAACTGTAGCATATAGAAGTAATTATTCATGATAATTACCATCAATTAGGAAGAATAGTTCATCAAATTTATTATTTTACAAACATAAAGCAAAATAGTTATCTTGAGTATTACATAATGCAGTATATTAAAATAGGGAACAATTAAAAGTATCGCGGGAAAAAAATTTCGGATCATATATGGAAAATCTAATATTTACTCACCTCAAAGTAATAAATGATTTCATTTTTTAAAATATAACCGAACGACAGCTAATTCTTAGCATTATTTATGAGGCACAGTAACTAACAAGCTGCAGGAAGGTTTTGAAACATCGAAAACTTACTAGTATTAATTAATGATAAGTAGCTATCACCGTACGAATTACCGTGAATAAGTAGCTAACGGAATTTAGGTAATTAAGCGTTTACTTATGTACTAACTAGTAATAACTAATAGTAAAACCACGATAGTTATTATTTGTGGTAGTAAATTATGCTGAAGTGTAGTAAGAGTTCTTGTATGGTAACTGATGTTAATTGATCATAGTACTACATCTTGCAACGCTTGACATTAATATCCTGAAAATACTCAATTATAGGTGATACCATAAATAATTCTATGTATGGCATACTATAGTCTAGTTATCTAGAATCATTCGGTGCGTATCTACGATTATAAATATTTCAGTATTTATTTATCTAGCTAATATGAATTAACTTTCATAATCTTATGATACCTCGTTCATGTTAGCTGCTACCGAAGGGTACTTAAGCTCAGTAGATAGCTGAATAAAATCAGAATTCTCTAGTCGTTTAACGTAGAAGCAAAGGCGTCTAAATTCTTGCGAGATAGTTAAGGATACTGAATTCCGGAGATTTTAGTAATTTAGAGATCTGTTTTACGTTATCCTTGTCACGAAGCTGGTTTAAGGCAGTAGCCTTTCTATCCTCAGTATATACTTTATTTCAGAGCGAAATATGATAACAACTGAAATATTAGATCTCTTATCTATATGAAATTCATGACAAAAATCATTTATCACTGAATTTGAACAATATATTTGGCAAGGAGATGTCCTACTCAAAATATGAATCAAACAATTTCTAATTAGCACGGTATTCATTAATTAATAATGCAACATTGTCACAATTTCACTTCTGCGACAAGGTAACGTACAGTAAAAGTCTATAAGTAGCTACTGGCTTAAATGTCCTTTTACTTAACGTTAAAGACATACAGCAAAACACTGTAAAGATGAAACTATTATTAGCAAAGATACATCTACAACTTTTTACCACCACTGAACTCAAATGTTCCCGTTTATATAGGAACCGTATAATTCGTAAACAGCAACAGTATTATTGTTATACCTTAATAGGAGAAACATCTCGTACTGAGATGTTCCTTACATAGCTTTTCTATCAGTAAATATTTTAAATCTCTTACTCATACTTAATCTTAATCTAAGCTCGTAGGTTGTCTAATTCAACTATCATCAACTAGAACTTAAATCGTCTTACTGCTATCTATCACACAATAACAATCAATATCAAGTATGTCATGAAATATTACAAACAACATCCACGTTAAGGCATTACTTATCTTATCTAGCACTACAAATATGGATATTCTCCATACTAAATACTACTGTACTTATTAAACCATCCTGATAACAAGGCAACACCGTAACAAACATTAATCATATTTCAATCTTCTATGGGTGTATATGTATCATATAATACCATGCAGCTCTACTTTACCATAAAGCAGTTACTTAATTTCATGACTTATTATCGGATCTTTTCTATAAGCAATATTATTGCGATAATGGTGTACCACAGCGATAAGAATGTTATACGTAATCTAGAGTTATTAACCCTTAATGGTACTATGCTCATTATCTTAAGTGATGGCATTGATGTATAGTATTGAATTCTGCTGTAAATCTCTCTAAAGATGCCATCTGATATCAGGTCAGTCTAGCCCAGATATCAGATACCATTAGGATTTCGTAAATTAATAGTAACATATCTATAATAAATATCAAATTATTCTACAATTATAAAAATTTTTTAATCTATCTTTACCGTATTTTCAAGCAAATATTATCATCTTTGCTATTAACACGACCTAATAGAAAGTTTCAATTACGAAAATTAATAATGAAGTAAAGTTTCTATTGCAACTGGAGGTAATTAGCTCTCATAGACTTTTAACATAAAGCTATTATAATCAGAAAATTATTTAAGCATAAATAATTTATTAATCAATGTCCAAATAAATATATAAACTAATTTAAATGTATGAGTTCGCTTATTATGTACCCAGCAATATGTAACTATAGCGTATGACGTATCATCAATTTACATTAGACGCCTTTCTTTCTAGACGATCCTAGTATGACGTTTACAGACAGTGTTCAAATAATTTACTAAAGGACATATATAAATATATGCCACTAGGCGACGTAGATTAACTAAAAAAATAACAATTATCAACAATGGTTATCGCTATTTGATTTCTATATGCCGTTAAGGTCCTAAATATAGAAGTGGATTTTCAAATTAAAAATAACTAGATATCAACATACTGCAAGAGCTATATATATGCGTCTAAGAAAATAACATTATTGTTTTACTCTTAAAATTTTTGCATAAAAAATATGGTGAAGACTAGTGATCACTTGCCTCGTTGGAATGATCAAAGATTTCATAATTCCACTCAAGTAGCCATTAATTATTCTATAGTTAATATATATGCCTATTCTGCAGCTATTCCGCTATCTGTTATTGGTTTTATAGCAAATCTTCTATTACTTTATTTGATTAAAAGTGATCGTCACTTTCGTTCTATGACTTATAATCTTATTCAAATATCAGTTATATCGGATCTTCTATCGTTAATGGGCACTATGACTGGATTTACGCTTGTCGCTGCTGTTAAGATTGGATATTTTTGGGGATCGATATTATGTAAATGCTTACTCTTTACAATATTTATTTCATATGGAGTATCAATCACTACTTTATGCATGATTAGTATTGATCGCTATCTGGCTATCGTTAAGCCAATATCAGTTACCACACTAAAATATAAGAAACGTTTAGTTTATGTTGGCCAATGCCTCGGTTGCCTTATAACTCTTGGCATTGCTTTGCCTATCCTTTATTTAGCCAATGTTTATCGCGAGGATACAAAATTTTGTGATGTACCCAATGTTTCAGTTTCAACCGCTGTCTACCTAGTGTTGCAAGGAGTTTTCATGTATCTCATTCCAATGCTTATCTTAGTTATAACTTATGGTAAAATAGTTAAATATCAAACTCATTATGTCCAGCCAGGACAGGTAAAACAGAAAAGAAGAAAAGATGGTCATTTAAAGAAGAAAAAGTTCATCCGGGCGCTGATTTTTATAACTCTGATTTATTTTCTAACTACATGGCCATTCTTTGCAACCTGTGCTGGCATGGCTATAACAGCAAAATCGTTGCTACAAATACGCTTGATGGGATTACAGTATTATCTATTTGCTTTTTTTTCATTTATAAGTACATTTGGAATTAGCATTATCAACCCATTTATCTATTTTAAATTTGACTATAGTATTAGAATGAAATTAATATCTAGATTCCGATATTTACTTCCAATGCGTTTAAATAATGTGAATCAAAAAACTACAGTTCGAGCGACTAGTCGTTATTTTAGCCAAGCAGTAAATCAAAATATTATACATCATCCACATGAAAGCTCTAGAATTCCACTAACTAAAATTAAAATTTAACATTGGCTTCAATATCAATTATTAGAAATGCTTTGAAACATCATAAGTGATATCATCTTTTGATCACTATTCGATTAAGAAGTTAATAGTACAGCTTTCATTATATAAATGCAATTAGAGAAAAATGTGATTACAATATTTAGAATAGGGCTACTTATGAAAAATATTTTAAAGCTGCTGTTAACTCATCAGAAAATACATTACGTCCACTACACATTAATCTTATCAGTAATAAAATTATTAATCCGTAAACCTTAGGACGTCTAGATTTTGATAATATAATGAAAGTCAATTTATTGACTTATAGTTCATAAGATAACAAGCACATTATATAAAGTAAACGTTTATTCTTATTCTTTGAATACTCTCCTTTTCTTTCAAAACCCTTAGACTCTCACAATAAACAGTACTATTTCAAAAGAACTACAAAATGTAGTAGCCTCTCTGCATCCTTTGTCCACTTGATATACGAGCATGCTGATATGATTCTGCCGAAATATATCGTCTTCTTGATTTATAAAATCAATATTTTTATTTTTTACATAATCATTTCGAAAAGATTTTCTTGTATAACAGCGGTGTGTTGTTAGTTTTTCGGACATTTTGATGGCAAAGTATATAGTAATTATTACTATGTGCTTTGACTGTTCTTGCATGATAGCTATATGTAAGTATATAGTATAGTATTTTACGTTAGTTTAAGCAGTATTTTTTTCCATTTTTCTGCGTCTAAAAACAAACAAACAAGCTCTTTATTAGCGTGTTTTAATCTCAAGATTTATTACCAAACGTCGCATATCTAAGTATGAATCTTTTCTGCGGCCGAAATTATAATAAAGTGACTGTTTGCAAGTCAGTATTAGGATCCAAATTTTTAACTCGCGTAGCCAAAGTTTATTTTTTTTAATAATAAAAACTTATTCCGCAATTAATTTTTAATCCTTTCTTGCTATTGATTTTATTTGAACTAAACAATAAAATAAACAAGGTGCCGACTAATTGTGTAATTCTTTCTGAAATTGTCATTAACAAATATACTCGCATTATCGGTAAGTAATAGTTTACGGTGCTTAATTTATTTTATCTTTACATCTGCATTTGATTTTTTCCGTTTTTATTAAAAATAAGAAACTATTCGAGCTGCTAGTACTATTTTCATTTATCATGATACGGAAATAGTCTGATATATGTTCAACAACTCTTCCTAAAAGTTGTTAATTAAAAATTAAGATCTCAAAACATCCGTCGACGTCATTAAAATAAAGTATAGCGGCTGCTTTTATAGATAGAATTTTATCAAGATACAAATATCTTCCGCGCTTAAGGTACACTTTAATTAAATACAATAAGTATTTATGTTTTGGTATTCATCTTTTTTATTGTTTAATTCTGCTTTTGGAGTCGCTTTGTCGCGCTTCTTTAACCTTCCATTCCATATACTTCTTGGTCCTTCACTTTTAGATGTACGAATTTTATACATCATTATATATTTAATTTTAGTATTCTTATTTGACAAATCACTGATCGAAATATTAGTATCATATAAGAGTAGGATAAATTTTGGCTGCAGATATATTAAAATAGTATTAGTAAAAATCTTCCATTTTAGATGAGAAATTAAATAGAATTACTTCATATGATTTAGATCCTAGTGACAGTATTAAATACTGTATTAGAGTAGAAATATCTAGTTAGGATAATTCTGTTAGCCTATCCTTATTTAGTTAACTCCTAATTTGGATATATTGTGTTTTAATACAGCACTGCCTTTTTATGACAGTGACACATATAAACATACTGAAATTAATAGTTATAATAGGGAATGCAAATTATCTACTTACAGTTCGAATCATTGTGATTGTAATTTACTTATGGTAGATTGTAAATTATCATGGAAATGTTCCGTGATAGGACATATCGCAATCTGACCATTCTGTATTAGTCTTTACACGCCTATGTTCGTAAATACTGTTGTCTGGATTAAGGGAGCAGTAGCTAAAATTAATATCTAATTCAGTGAATGATTCCAAAGTTAATCGTACTAACTATGACTCATGAACTATTGAGGAATAGTATATAAGTGCAGTATATCGTATAATAAAGTCGATTCTTAAACTTAGTATTTAAAGTAGTATACGAGGCGTTTAAGTCTTTGTGTAGTCAGCTGGTAAAGCAAAAGTGTTTCTGATAGTGCAGATATCGTTCCTTGATACATGGTTCAAGGAATTGACTTATTGATTGTACATCACGTTATCTTGTTGCAAAGCTGTTTTGCGACAATCTCCTATACGAAATTGAAATGATACCTTAGGTAAATAGGATTAAAGGATCTATTAGCTGCGAATTTTAATAGTTTTACTTAAGCAGCGGCCAATTATCATTCTTTGTTAATAGACTGCCCTCTAAAAATGCTAGTTACCTATTACTCTGACTCTATCGACTTCGAAACTAAAGCTTGATATTTTCCTTAAATTTTAAAATTAGATGATGTTATTTACTGCTAATACAAGCACTTACGCAGGCGCCAACATACGCACTAAAGTGGCGGATAAACATTGCTTTAATAAGCAAATTCAATTTCTTTGCAAGGAAAGCATCACTTCAGTAGGCTTTGCATACAACCTACTGGATTTAAATCATTCTTTCTAAATACTTTGCCTTGCAATAAAATTCTTAAACAGGAAACGTCACAATTTATTATCCATCAAGTATTAAAATCAATATATCTACAAAGTATTTCAATATTGCATTAGCTTCATTTAAAAAATGAAAAATGTTATTCCCACTATTGTAAGATATGAACTGCTTCCACAGGCAGTTAAACATAGTGACCAGTCTTTCACTAGAATCGAATCTAAATCTCTCTTTATCTGTTAAAATTAACTCTACTTTATGATTGCTATCTGTATTAGCGAGCAGCAATAAACATTATTGGTTGTTGTCTGTTCTTAAATCTTGATTAGTATAACTTTATGGTGGAAATTGAAATTCGTTAGAGAACGCATATGCTGCAAGATTTATCATGATGAGAACACGATCTAACCTTTGAACTCTCTTATAAATTAGTATCTTACTAATCGCTAGCCCTTGCGCTAAAATGAATTAGTTATACAATCTTGATTATCAACAACTTACATAAGCTAATAGCGTTACTATTACTCGTCGCCGGCGCGAGCACCGGGATAAAAGTTATGAACGTTATTTGTAGTATGATACGGCTACTAGCTAATAAGGATTTGTGATAATGTCCGTAATTTACATAAAATTCTTCTTCTTAAATAAGTTTGTCTTTATATCTAATTACATCACTATGTTGTATCTGATATTTTTATTTTAAGAAAACTGTTTATTTGTAGGTCTATCTATGTGTGTAATAGTCAGTTAAAGTCCGAACAAAGAGCAAAATAATAGAATTTTGAAATTTAACCGGCTATACCAGTGCTTTAAATATAATATTAATCGTATCGATAGATTTTATTAGTCTACGGAAGTGTTTAGTGATGTGATGAAAGGACTAAATGAATTTTGATTTCCTTCTCTTTAGCAAATATTCATTCTTAAACAATAGTACCATAAGTACTCCTAATTCGAACTTTGGCTAGCTATTATATAACATATAACTACTGATTATGAGCTTTTCTGAACGGTAATGGAGTTCTCAGACTTTATAAGTGCAGTGCTTTATTCTGACTCGATCTTATGACAGATTAAGATAGTAATCTGCAAAAGCAAGTTAAAGCAAGTGTAAAATGTTAGACTAGTCTGCGATAAGAGCTGAAAATAGTTTAGGTATATGCGCTACCCCCATCCATAGCGATTAAATTCACTACTCTAGTTTGATCAACTCGTAGACCAAATTTAACACATTAGAATATTTAATCTTAACTAATATATTTTACCATATCGTCAACTTATAACATAATCAAGGCGATCAACATTTCCATTACAAGATTTATCTTGTATAAGAACTAGATAGAACACCTGCCGTGGCCGGGCTTTTTGGCATAAAGCGTTTAATATGTATTACTGAATACAAAATTTTTATAGGTGAATTTTAAAGCAATGTACTTTATTTTTTCGCACAAAACGATTAAGATCTAATGTCCATTACTCGCAAATGTTCAGTCCAAAATAAGTAATTTTACATAAGATATGGTCATAGCGATAAGACTAATTCAAATACTGTATAACTTACTTTTATAAAATCAAGCAAGTTTAAATTTAAGAATTAACCAAATATCATTGTCGCATAAATTATTACAGCTGCAGTAGATCTCTGATATAGATATCATTACGATCCATCAATGGCCAGATCCGCAATCTTTTCTATGATTTCACTATCAGGAATAAATCAAACTTAGCGTGGTCAATTAATCGATGACTATAAAATTTATATTCCAATAAATGCAAGTTTTCCTTCACGCTACTTTACTACCGCGTATGTCTTAGATTAATATCCCAGAGTGAAGCAGATACAGTTTTCGTAATTAAAATCTATGTTCTCAGAACGTATATAAAAACTGAATATTGAATATCTTAACATTAGGAACTAATGCTGCAGTATTACTGCTTTCATATTTTGTATATGTTTGATATATGAGATACAGTGGCAAACAGCATTACATGAAAGAAATCGACAGAATATACTTTTGGCACTGCTGTTACAAAGATAGTTGCTGCATGAAATGTTAATAAACTCGAATTTACTTTTACAATTATTTAAAACTGCACTTTATAAGCTATAGTCTTTATACGATCTTTTGTTGAAAACTAGTTTCCACTCTAAGTTTGAGTAATAACTGTGAGTTCTATACAACTTTCTTTACTAGGAGAAGCGAGAATCTAGTTATTACGATTGGTCCCCTTAAAATATCCTACTTTTCCTTATATTATCTCGGGTTTAAATATTTTATTAAAGTTAGTATTTGGAGTACTGTTACGGCGCTTTCTTACTATTAGAATGATTTAATGACTGTGATTACTATAGAAAAGTTTGTAATTAAAATAATAAGCATGATATTCCATGCGTTGCCTTTACCATCATTCATAATGGGCTCTTGCATTACTATCACATTATTTACCTGTTGTAGCTGTGTATCTTATAAGGAGTAGCGAAAATTTTAATTCTTACTTAGTTTACAATCTCTGAAATAGAAAGTAATCTTGCTTAAGATCGCCTTTGATATGATATGTATTGGCACATGTTAAAGAAATATTACTTAAAAACTATTGATTTCTGCTAATTCATTTC